TGTATCTGGCAAAGCAGTCCATGTTTGGCACTTCTTTCAAAAATCAGTTTTCTCAAAACGATTTGCCGAATTTGGACTCTTTGGTTCAAACTTAGAACCGTGACAAATTTGAGAGTCCTGAGCTGTAGTGACCCCAAATGAACAGAACGGGAGCTCGTTCCTCCCGGGGCGTTCGGGGACGTCTACAGTACCGCGGATGCCGTCAACAAGCTGTATATCATATGGATAACGCCGAGTAGATGTGAATCCTGCCGTAAAGCAACTGTTTTGGTTGAGTTGTTCTTTCGGACGTGTTGCTTAAGCCGATCGTCTTGTACTAACTCGTTAAGGCGATCCTTCAATGCATAACAACTATCAGTATCATGACCGTGGTCTTTGTGATATTCACACCGCCTATCCCGTCTTCTCGTGTCGGGAGGTCCCACCATCTTGGGTGGCCATTTGAAGAATGGAAGGTGTTGAACTTTAGACATGACCGTGCTAATCGGCTCCGATAACTCCGTATATTTCTTGTTCGCATGCCTTATGCGCCTGGTATCCACTTAAAGTTGTTCATTAGCTTGGTGTGAACATTGGTCATTTGATCTGCGCGAATCTCGTCTTTTGTCTCATTTAGCCCGACTATGTGGTTCAGGGCTCCGTGATGGTACAGAATTTATCGGTTGAACGATTTCAGATAAGGTCGTCTTGTTGGCCTTGTGCCCGGATTTGACCCGCAGGGCGTCATCTTCCACGTTGCAGTATTCCTCGACTTTCTTCATTAACGACCAGGCTATTTTGAGGGACTTTCCGGTCAAGGAGCCACGGAGGGCACTATCAGGATGCAATCCCATCTTAAAGGCGGTGATGGCCATGGAATCATTGCAGACACCATCTACTAGATTAAAGCATTCCCAATAGCATGCCGAATACGCACGTAGGGTTTTCCCTAGTTGGATCTGCAATGCCCAGAGGGAATCGGCCTGCTTCGGCTGGACCTCATTGGCGATGAACCTTGCCCTGAAGGATTTTTAGAGTTGATGGAAGCTCTTAATCGATGTCAGTTCCAATTTATAATACCATCTGACGGCCAGTGGTCCCAAATTGCTCGGAAATATTCGACACATGAGGGCCTCGTCGTCTGTATGAAGCGTCATGGCTTGCTCATAATGACGAATGTGATCAGTGGGGTCCGATTTCCATCGTATAGAGTAAACGATGGAGCTTTGAACTTTTTGGGTAGCACTGCCCTTGCGATGCGTCGCACAAAGGGGTCATGTTGATCCTCTTCGTCTGAATCATTTCTTCTTCTCTTATTCCATGCACACGGACTTCCTTTGGAAGAACTGGAGACTTCGACTCGTCCCTTCTTTTTAGATTCTGGGGATGATGAGTCAGAATCACTGCCACTATCATGTCTCCAAATTTGAGGTTGTCGACCATCCTTTCTCAAAGATCGTCTCAGGTCTTGGCACGCGGCCTGTTGGGATTTTGCCACCTCCAAGGCCAAATCTTGTCAAAGGCGCTCGTTCTCAGCCATCATGTTTTCCAACCTCTGTTCTTTTTGTTTCGCCTGATCCATAATCGCTTGCATTGTCTCATGTGTTGATGTCGAGGGTGAGTCGAAGTTCAAGGCTCTTCGTGCGGAAATGTTCAATGGCCCAAGCATGTTGCTTGGAGTGGTATCATCTCATGGCGTAAGGTCGTCAGCGACTACCGGAGGATCTTTTGTCACGCCCGCCATGGATGTGCTAGAGTATTCCCACAGACGGCACCAATTGTGGAGAAGTGGTTTGGAAATACTCTCTGGATCATGTAGAATGCTCTTGATCCTCAACAAGTCACCTGAAAAGGAATGAACACTCCGGTCGGGGGTGCCGGAATTAGCACTTTGACGGATAAGTCAGTATATACTCTCTTGGTTGCTTATATCTTAAATAAATCTTACTTGTTCTCACATACCTTTCTTTGGCTAACGCTCCTCTATTTATATTTTTCTTTTGGGTCTCAGGATTGGGCCCACCCTTAATCCATTGCACGTTTATGTATTCGGCCTTAGTTCGACTGGTTCTACGACCGATTAATATATTCAGTTTTGGGATCATTCAGGATGAAACCGAGTATAAATTTCGTCCTTGACTGTCCTCATACCGTTATTCAACTTTATTGCCCCCATAATATCCGGCTCCCAAAGTAACTAATAAAAAATGCAGGGCTTGATTTTTGTTTAAACAAAATATGGTTCAATTTATTTAACAAGTAATTTAGCTTATGGAGAAGGAAAAATTAGATAACTAACTCAGTTGAATTTAGATGAATAACACAATGAATATATCAATTGATATAGCAAGACTAAATAAAGAAAAATCAGTAAATGATTCTTTTTAGGTTAACATATTGTTATTTCAAAGATTTCAACTAAAATAGGCAAATCACAATTTATGAGGATATAACACACTATATCAGTTATACATCAACAAATATACCAACTAATGAAAATGCAATGAATGAACCATAACTAATGGAGAAGACCTTCAGGTTAGAACAAACTACTAGCTTCAATTCCCTTATCAGAGATTTTTTAGTCACCAAAGGTGCATTTCATTATAGAGTACACAAAAACTCTCTCTCTCTCTCTCTCTCTCTCGTTGTTTTTTCCCATTAATGGGAGACCCAAGGAATCCCAGACCGATCTCTTTTTCTCTGCCTCCTGATTCCCGATTCTACCCTTCTGAGGTGCAACTCCTCTGTTACTACCTCACTCATAAGAACAACGATGATCATCACTTTAAGTTCGATGTAATTAACAAGATTGATTTGTACAATTTCGACCCATTCGATTTTCCTAGCGTTGCTTGTTTCAATTCAGTCGAGGAATGATAAAGAGGCACTTTTTGTGTGTGTGTGTGTGTGTGGATAAATAAGTAATTTTATAACCAAAAAAGAAAGATTTACAATGAAGTTCAACACACATCTTTGTAGAAAGCACAAAAATAAACAGAACCAAACTACTCCCACCAAACGACACAAAACTAAGCCTACAAAAGGCATAAAACAACTATCACAACAATGAGGATTCAAAATTTTCCTCTCGCACTTTTCAAGGTATGAAGTTTCTCTTTGAGTTTTCTTCTATTTTCCTCTTTAGAAGTCTTCTCATTACTGGGGTTCCTTAGAGATGGACTCCCTCTATGATTTAGAATATTTATTTGACACAATAACTCTTGACTTGATTCACCGTTCCCAAACTCTCTTATTTCACAAGATTTAAGAGCTTCAAAGGCATTAGATATAGAGGGGCTGGAAGACCATGTTCCTTTCTCTTCGTTTATCTCTGTTAGTGAAACTTGCACACCATCTCTTCCCTTTTTCTTCTTTACCACTTCCTAAGTCAGAATTTGTGTTTTAGTCTCCTTGACTCTCCACTCTTGTTTGAAAGAGAGAGGATTCGATGTCTTTGGCTTTTGCGGGCACATATTAATGGTATGACCAAATGTCTTACAAATATCACACCTTTGAGGCTTCCATAGAATCTCAACCCTAATCTCATACACGTCACCATAACCAAGATTTATTCTGAAAGACTCGGGGATCTCTTTATTTGCTGTCACTTTAATACATATTCTCGCAAACGTAAGTCTGTTTCTGTTGAAAGTAGGCTCATCCAAATAAAGAGGAGTTCCAATGATGCTAGTAATGTAACCCAAACCCTCTTCAGTCCAAAGCTCAAAAGGAACATTATACAACTTTACCCACAACAACACGCTAAAAATTCACATTTTGACAGTTTCAGCCCAGGTTGCCATTTTTTAACAACAATCAATCTAGCCCCAACATAATAGGGGTCATCTTCCAAAATTTTGTTCATAGCCTCTTTACTTTTTATTTTAAAAAGAAAGGAAGACACTCTGGTACTGTTATGTAGCTGCTAGGGTTTTGAAGGAGTGTGGTGAGAGGAGGAGTATGAGTGCTAGGGTTTTAATGGAATGTTGTGTGGCTGCTAGATTTGGAGGTGGAAATGAACATAGTTGTTGTATTGGAGTGAAAAGCATACATAGGAAGAGATTATGCGATACGCTGGTAAACAAGGGTTTTATATAAAGGTAAAATAGTCTTTTTACTTTTGTCGTTAATGGGGTTAACTATGCATTTTAATCCAGAAATTACAGAGGGTCATGTGGTGATTTTCAAAAGTCAGAGTGGTAAACCACATGCTACCCAAACCACAGAGGGTAAAGTCCACAGATAATTATGTGGTAATTTTCAAAAGTCAGAAGGATAAATTGCGCGTGATCCAAATCATAGGGATAAAGTGAAATTTACCTTTACAATTTTTTTAGTAGATTTACATTGAAATATGAAGTGATTATAGAGGTGTGTGATACATGCAATTAGACTTTTCGTAGTCTTATGTATAGGACATGGTAGGATGATTCATGTTAAGAAACAAATATAAATACAAAATTCAAAAACATATTAAAATAATGGGTAAATTATACTTGTGGTCATTATATTTTGTTTCTTATGTCATTTTGGCTCATACATTTTCAATTGACTCAATTTTGATCCTTAATTTTTGATTTTTTATCAATTGGGTCTAATTAATTGCAATATAATATTTTTTTATGAAAAATACGCACATAAATGTTATGTATCATATTTTTAAGAGCAAAATTATAAATTTATTCAACTAATTTAGTGAATTCTTTTTTCTTTTTTTTTAAAAACACTAATTAAGACAAAATTTGAAATTAATTTAGTGAATTCTTTTTTCTTTTTTTTTTAAAAAAACACTAATTAAGACAAAATTTGAAATTAAAGGTCAAAATTAAGCCATTTGAAAATGTAGAAATCAAAATAACACAATATGTAAAATGTAAGGACTACCAGTATCATTTGCCCTAAAATAATTGAGTGAGATTGTGTAGTTTCTTATGCTATGGTTTTACTGCCCAGCACTACAGAGGTTAGTTGGCAAACAACATGAGAGATCATGATGAAGGTGAAAAATGGTAGCAAAAATGAGAATTAGTACAATTTTATTCTAATTAGTTGTCCATGACCAATGTAAAGCAAAGTACTTATTACATATAGAATTCATTGAGGAAGTGGGAGGTTATTGTTCCTTCAAATGAAATTTAAACATCATAAGTTTTGTAAATAGTTGAATAATGATTGGAATACATTAAAACAATATTATGAACAAATGAAACAAATTAGCATTAATATATCAAGCTCTCTTCCTCTCCATCCGATCTGAAGACCGCTCTCTTAGCCCACAGAGCTGCCTCTCCCACACCTCCTTAGGGAAAGTTGATCCTCTTTCTTTTACACTGCAGCATCCTAATGACGAATCAACCAAACCCAACTCATAATCGTACATTCTGCGTGAACTCGGATCAGACAGTGTCTCGTAAGCCTTTCTGAGCTCAATGAACCGCATGGTGGACTCCTCTTTGGTTGATGGAGGACACACATCAGGGTGGTACTGAAGAGCCATTGTTCTATAAGCCTTCTTGATTTCATCAAAACCTACATTCTCTGAATCAAGAGAAAGAACTTCATAGAAATTGGTGTCTACTTTTTGTATGGCCACATTTTTAGCACTGCATGATATAGTTTTGGGCTTATAGAAACCCTTTTGCCTAGTCCTAAGCCAGGGAACCATTTTTTGCATCTTGGGACTTATCTGCAAGCAAACATCCATTTTTAATCAATCACACGCGCACACACAGATCTTGGGTTATTCATATGGATGGAGTGTTTGAGGACTATATATATAGAGAATACATGTTAGGTAGGTTATTACTTTTTAAGGGTATGCTCCTCTCCAGTTGGGCATCCCAATTGGACGGTGTTGTTGGCCTTTGTGGGTCTTATCACGGGCTCCACTCGATGATTTGAACAGTTCAACTTGTAAAGCCCTCCTCGTAGATCATAATTGCAAAAAAAATTAAGTTGATTAAATAACCGTAACCACATGATCAAATTAGATTTGACTTAAAAGAAATAAATAAACGGTTTATTTTCAAAGTCATACTTGTCATCTATTTTGTGAAGATAAATTTGATATGATCACATTGTTATGGTTGTCCCATCAATTTAACTTTTTTAAGAATGATCTACATGAAGAACTATATAAGTTAAACGATTCAAATGATTGAATGAGTTCATGGTAGACCTACAAACACCAACAGCACCCTCTAGCCCATTTTTTAACGGAAGAGGTCTTGCATGGCAATTGAGCTGGAGGGTCCAGTTGAGGGGTTTTGTGTTTATTCATACTCATCTCAATCATTCGAATCGTGTTTTTTAATTCTAAACAAGTATATTTTAAATATAAAAATTAAATTGATTAGATATTAATAATTAAAAAATTGAATTAAACTTGACTAAAAAAAAATTAATGTTAAGTACGATTTTCAGAATAAGACTATTTATTTTTTGAATACTAATATAATTTAATTAATGTGCAATCAACTTGAGTTTTAGCTTAAATAATTCACTCAAGAAACACTAGAAGATGGATAATTTTAATTATCGAGTTAGACTCAGAATGAACCCGTAGCCTCTCAATCGGCCCTTCAATTCAATTACTAATCAGGAAGAAGGCCTCATCTTCTTTTAATAGCCTGTAATTTTTTTGTTATGTCCGCATATTAATTTATTTAAGTAACAACTAAGACCACATTAACGCGGTTTTGGTAGAGACCTGTTGAACGCAGTTTTGGCATGAAGTGATTTGCTTTGTTGTAGCTTGCCGTTTCCTCACTAATGTTTATCTTGTCTTTTGCTTCATAAAATTATTAAGTGTAATGGTATAACTATTTTTTTTTTCTTTTTTTTTAAATATAAGATAATATGATTTGTATTAGTAAATCCACGTGACATCCATTCACCTGTATACAAGAGTGAAAATAGGACAAAATTTAAGATTATATGTTTCATTTTTTGTTATTAAATAGTTTGGCAAATTACATCAGTAATCCCTGCATGTTACTTCTTATGTCATTTTGACCTCTACATTTTTAATTGACTCAATTTTGACTTTTAATTTAATATTTTGTGCCAATTTAGTGCAATTAACAACACCATTAAGATTTTTTTTTTTACAAAAAAATAATCACTAAATTGATTGAGATAACTCACATAATTGATTAAGTTTATAATTTTTTTTATCTAAACACATGACACAAGCTACTCATGTGCACATTTTTTTTTATAAAATAATGCTACCAATCATAATTACTTGAACCAAATTTAAACAAAATAAAAAAATAGTCAAAATCGATAAAATTGAAATTACAAAAATTAAAGTGACACATGAGTCAAAGTATAGGGAACTATCAATGTAATTTGCCCTAAATAGTTTCAAATGTAAGATTATATATTGAGTAATGCTAGAGATCCAAAAATTCTACTAAAGTTTTTACCAAATATCTCACATGGATGTGGGACCCACACAATGTGCATCCCATGTGAGACATTTGATAGATCTTTTGGTAAAAAAAATTTGGGTCTCTAACATTTTTATTATATATTTACATAGTGTGATCAACACTGTTCAAAAAACATAGTGTGATCAAGAAATAAAAAATCAATGAATTATTTTTTGTCTCTCAAATACCTAACAAAAGTGAGTATTATCTCATCCGTAATAAAATTCATAACATCCTGAGTTGAAAACACCATATAAATAGTGTCAAATAATATTCCAAAATTTCTTATAATTACTTACTTGCATTATATGTCGTGCATGCACAATTTACATTGCTAAATGCATATTTTGGAAGCTCTCATATTCGTTGCACTTCATAATAATAAGGATAAATTACAAATATACCTCTGAGGTTTGTTTAAAATATAGATTATTCCATATGGCTTAAAAAATTACTAATATCTCCTTGTCAAATTTTTTTATTTAACAGAATTAATTGAAAAAAATGAAATTTATAACTTTTCTCTTATACAGTAATAAAATTACTTGATTATTAATTGAAATATATTTATAATATCATTAAAAACTATTAATTAACCTAATAATTTATTAATAAATGAGTCATTTGTTATAAAATTAAAAACTTTAAGGGGCAGGATTTAATTTTTAAAATTATAAAGATCAATTTATATTTTAAATAAATATCAAGGAGTATATTTATAATTTATCCTAATAATAATGATGATATTAGTAGCTAAGCTAGTTGCAACAACTAATAAAAACAAGAGTTATAACTTTTTGGCATTACCCGTAAGGAAATCGGTTTAGTAAAATGTGTTTCTTCAAATTAATCTCAACCAATACCATGTATTATATCAAATGATAAATATAAATAGGCGAGCATATTATAGATACTAATCTAATCATCTATCTGTTAAGGAAAATATATGATTTCCCACAAGTAAATCAATCAATGGGAATAAAAACTAATGCGCAAAAATTAAATCAAAAGCAACACAAAAATTTTTACGTGGTTCCCTCGATGTGAGGTACGTTCACGGGATCGAAATCTGATTTCACTATTAACCAAATAAGTTTCCAAACGATTACAAGCGAGACACGAATGGTCTCACAAAACCACCCTTAGGTGAATTCCAAATAATCACAAATAAACAAGAAGAAAGATCTCACCAAATAGATGAACCAAAATCTTCAGAACAAAGTTGTAGAAGACACAAAATAATAGACCTAAATTAACACCACCAAAACATCCAACTATGAAGCCGAAACTGAAGCACACAAACTAAAATTTCTCAACCAAATTGGTTTTTCAATGTTGTAGCAGCCGCACAACACACTTTTCTTGGGAAAAACAATACCAAATATGTATATTGTGAATCTAGGATTTTTTATCAAAACTTTAGTTGTTCCAAAACTGAATTGGGTCTCTACAAAATTAGATATAATATATAAAAATATATTATAACTAATATCAAACCAAATTAAACTCTTTTAATAAACCAATTGGGTCCCACACTCCAATAAGGAGGTATACCTAACAATTCCCCCCCTACCGACTTAGGTAGAGAATCAACCATACCTGCCAAAGTTCAACACTTCAAATGTTTGGCCTCTGAGCTCAATGAAAACCGCATGGTGAACTCCTCTTGGACGATGGAGGACACCATCAGGGTGGTACTGAAGAGCCATTTTCTAATAACCTCTGATCATCAAATCTCATCTCTATCAAGAGAAAGAACTATAAGAAATGGTGTGTACTTTTGTATGGCCAAATTTTTAGCACTGCATGAATATAGTTTTGGGCTTATAGAAACCCTTTGCCTATCTAAGCCAGGGAACCATTTTTTGATCTGCGGATCATCTCAAGCAAACATCATTTTGAATCAATCACACGCGCGCACACAGATCTTGGGTTATTCATATGATGGAGTGTTGAGGACTATTAATATAGAGAATACAGTTAGGCTAGGTTATACTTTTTAAGGTATGCCCTCTCGTGCCACTCAATTGGAGGTTGTTGGCCTTTGGCTTATCACGGCTCCATCCGACGATTTGAACAGTTCAACTTGTAAAACCCCTCCTCGTAGAGCATAATGCAAAAAAATTAAGTTGATTAAATAACCGTAATCACATGATCAATTAGATTTACTTAAAATAAATAAATAAACGTTTATTGTCAAAGTCATACTTGTCATCTATTTGTGAAGATAAATTTGATATATCACATTTTTATGTTGTCCCACAATTTAACTTTTTTAAGAATATTTACATGAAGAACATATATAAGTTAAACGATCCCCCCCCCAAAAAAAAAAAAATGGGGATTTTTGAAAGAGCTGCATAGACCCACAAACACCAACAGCACCTCTACCCCATTTTTTAACGGAAGAGCTGCATGGCAATTGAGCTGGAGGTCCAAGTGAGCGGTTTGTGTGTATTCATACTCATCTCAATTTCATGCGAACAGGTTTTAATTTTTAACAATATATTTTAAATATAAAAAATAAATTAATTAGATAATTAATAATAATAAAATTGAATTAAACTGACTGAAGGAAAAATTAAATGTTAATATATTTTATAATACGACTATTTATTTTGAAGACATAATATAATTAAATTAATGTGCCAACCCTCAATTGAGTTTAGCCTTAAATATCACTCAAGAAACACTAGAAGATGGATAATTTTAATTAACGAGTTAGATCAGAGATAACCTAGCCTCTCAATCGGCCCTTCAATTCAATTACAATCAGGAAGAAAGCCTCATCATCTTTTAATAGTGAATTTTTTTGTTATGTCCGCTATTAATTTATTTAATAACAACTAAGACCACATTAACGCGGTTTTGTAGAGACCTGTAATGCAGTTTGGCATGAATGATTGTCTTTGTTGTAGCTTGCCGTTTCCTCACTAATGCTTATCTTGTCTTATGCGCTCATAAAATTATTAAGGTAATGTATAACTTTTTTTGTCTTTATTCTTTCTTCTTTTTTTTTTAAATATAAGATAATATGATTTATTAGTAGAATCCACTACATCCATTCCACTGTATACAAGAGAAAAATAGGACAAAATTAAGATTATATTTCATTTTCTTTTTATAAATAGTTGGGTAAATTACATCAATTCCCTGCATTGTACTTTTTAATTCATTTGACCTCTACAATTTAATTGACTCATGTGACCTTTTAATTAATTATTTCACTACAAAAAATTGACATTTCACGGTAAAATACCGTCGCTAATGCTCCTAATGCCGTCGCTAATACT